ATATATATATATATATATATATGTATATATATATATATCAAACGACTAGATGTAAGCAACCGCATACGCGCGTGTTGGCGTGCATACACAGCAAGAAATAAATAATCATCAAATTAATTTATGAGGTGTAAGCATTAACAGTGCTCGATGTGGTTAGACAGAGCAAATATATATATATATATATATATATATATATATATATATATATATATATATATATATATATATGCCTACGTTTTGTAATGCATAATTTGAGTTTCGCTGGGTTTCCAGCTCATCGTGCATAAAGTATGTCAGTTATTGCGTCTAATATACTGCAATCTTGGGAAAGGGGGATGCAATAAAGGAAAAATAGATACTGACAGAGTTTAGTAGCGAAATACGGAAACACATGAAAGAGTAGTCGGCGCCCTCGAGAGACAATACGCTGGCCATGGGCAGATTATCCCGGATGTAAACACCAAGACCATGCTTGTGAATGCTAGAATCTTTTTAGCAAAGGAAAGATACCCCGAAACTAAGAATTCATTGGTCAAATCAAGTTAGTTTCACAAGAGCGATGATATATATATATATATATATATATATATATATATATATATATATATAATTATTTATTTAAAAATGATAACATAAATATGTTATAAAAATCACTACAAATATAGCATTTGTTTCCAACACCTCTGGTGTCTTATCAAGTGATGATGTTGAACCTTGATAAGACACCGGAGGTGTTGAGACCAAATGGCTATTTTTGTAGTGGTTTTATAACATATTTATGCTATAATTTTTTAAATAAATAATTATATCTGCTCTACTCTGTATTGATTACCCGTTTTAGAATAGTAATTGTTGGTTATTGGAATTCATTCCGTATCGACCAATTATATGCTCGTATATATAAATCAAACGACTAGATATACTTGTATATATATATATATATATATATATATATATATATATATATATAAGGGTAAAAACAACTTATGCCAATGTGTTCTTGGAGGAACTTTATTAAGGCAAATTGTTTTGAAATAAATGATACACACACACACACACTCACACACACATACACACACATATATATAAACATTTATATATATAAATATGATTCATATATACGTGTGTTCATGTGTGTGTGTGTGTGTGTGTAAATTCGCAGATATGTTTCGTATCTTTTGTTAGTTTGAAATTTAAATTCCTTTTATTCTCTTCATTGTTTGACACGAAAAGTTGGACTCAGCAGACTGAAAAATACCAGACATCTGGAAGCACCAAAAGACTGATTCTTATTCTTTGAGAATGGCTACACAGAAGAAACTTAGATAAAAAAAAAAATAAGTTCAAAACATTTTCAAGGTTTTTTTCTTTCGTTTTTAAGCGAATAATAGAAATTCTTCACAATATTAGCACAAAGAAAATTTGGTGCCATTTTGAGGCACATGTGACAAAGATGTTTATTTCTGCAAGATCATAGCCCAGACACACACACACACACACACACACACATATATATATGTATATATATGTGAAATCTCCCGCCAGTTGTTTACACTCTTCAGGTGGATTCTCTTTAGAGTCTTTTTCCAAAAAGTCTTTGATACATGGGCGAAGCAACATTGGCAAGTGGTTCCACCCAGTTGATAACATGTTTCAGAATAGGAAAGGGCAGAGGGGAAAAACGAATATATATATATATATATATATATATATATATATATATATATATATATATATATATATTTATATATATGATATAATATAACGATATATATTTTATATATCAAGAACAGGATTGAGAAAATTGTATGACAAATTGGAAAAAATTGGTGACGCATTTCATCCGTTAGGACTTGATCGGATAAACGCGTCACCAAACCCTTTTTACAATTTGTCGTATATATATATATATATATATATATATATATATATATATATATATATGTGTGTGTGTGTGTGTGTGAAAAGTGTGTGTGTATATATATATAATTATTTATATATTATATGCGCGGGTACTTATTAGAAAGCGCTCAATATCAACAATAGAGCTAACAAACTGACATCAATCCAACTATATATATATATATATATATATATATATATATATATATATATATATATATATATATATATATTTATACCGGGTGTAGAAGCAAAAATTGTACAAATCGTGTTACAACATACTTGTCCATCCCACAAAAGGTTTAATACCTCCAAATCCACTAAACTAATGGAGTTTCTTTTTTTTACAGGTTTTCAAATAAGACTTTTAGCCATGTTGATACCATTTGTCATAAGAATCACCGAAAAATCCCCTGGATTATCCAGATAGAATGAGAAGAGCTTAAAATCATTTTGTGTCAGTCCCATTGTCTTCCCAATTGAGCAGTGGTGTGAGGAAAAAGATCGTTCAGGCTTTCAGCAATAGTATCAACATTCATACTTTGGCTTCCATCTTCAATGTACATTCAAGAACCATCAAAGAATGAGGAATAAGTTTAAAAAAAAGAGTGAGAAGTAGAAAGAAAAACTGGATCAGGAGGTCAAAACAGCAAGAGGGATCATTATTTCAAATTAGAGCTAAATTAGAAAAGATCCAACTCAATTCATAAAACGTTTGGCACGTGAGAAAGGAGTTTCATTTGTGAAGAGCACCGAAAAAGACTTGAAAAGGAAACTTTATGTGAAACGTGTAAGACATCTTGTTACTCCAGGATAGAAAGTTAGATGGTTAGAGAGGGCGAAAATCATCTTGGATAAGTTGGAAAATGATCGTGAATAATATATATATATATATATATATATATATATATATATATTTGAACTTAATTTCAATCCTTCGTGAGCTTCCTATCTTTAGCTATGTTTAATTAATGATGAACATGTTTTGTTTATGGTCGATTTCATCACGATTCTTCTGTTAAGCTCGAAGTGTAATTATACATTCTTATTGCCCAAATTCTAATAGTGTTATAAAAACCTCGGTGAATTCCAGTAAGATATCTTTAATCATTCCTAAGATACAACGGCTCAAAGCTTAATTAAACCAACGACGATTTTGCTCGTGTATTCTGTCCACGATGTACATCTCTGTCGGTTTAAATCATTTGCCTCGAAATGATCCAATAATGACTGCGATACAAGTGCATAAATATGATATAACAGTTCAATGTTCCTTTCTTTTCTGATGAACTTTTCCTTTGTATTTATACTTTGCTTAGTTTCTGGAAGTTTTCTCTCGTTATTCTGAACTGCCTTCTGCTCTTTATGTCACACTCTTCGTGGTCGTGTACTACACAGCCCACATAGCTAAATCACTGTAGCCGCTTGGTTAAGAAACGCAGATAATACAAGTTTTACTGTTTACGTTATTCGGGCTATCATCCTCATCTTTTTGTTGGTGGGGGGTTTAATCTGATTCCTTTAATGGTAAAGCCTTGCAGACGGATTGAAGAAATTTCTTGAGTGGTACAATAGCCCGACCATTTTTAAGCACCTGTTTTGTTAAGATCATGTCCGCCCAAAATGGTAGATTACCTTATCTAGTTCTCTTGGGATCATCTTGCTATATAGATTGAATAAGTCTGGCGTGCAGCTAGATCCTTGTCTTATTCCTTTTTTTATTTTGCCCAATCTCTGTCCGCATGAAGGTAGCTAGTTCCCAGCAAATGTTACGAATTATTCTAATATCTTTCCTATATAAATCAATCTTTTCAAGTATTTTAAGTAGTTCTTTCTGTCGTGATATAAATTCAGTCATCATCGGATGTTTCACTAGTGTATTCTCATGCCAGTTTTGTTGTCGTCGTCGTCGTGGGCTTTATCTCGTATCCAAGAATTTAATTGCTGATCGTTTCCTTTATGATGATGACTTTGAAGACTAAATTTGCCGCCAACGTGCAGGTTAAGGACTAGAAGATTCCAGTTTCACCAAAACCTGCTCCAGTCAGCCATTACCTATCGCCATTTGACTTTTGTTGGAAGTGAAAGAAAATCAGAGTAGAAGAATGTGCCGATGGCACGAATTTGTTTAAGGTGGACCACCACTTGACAGGAAGTGGCCAAAAAACACGATTTAATGAACTTCCACTGCGGTACATATGGAATGAAATATGCGGAATCCAAGTATGAAACTGCAACGGACTGCCGCTAGCTCAAGTGGCGCCTTCTATAGCATGTCCTCAATGCGTAGCCTACTTCATCCGATGGTTTAACCGTTGAGATCTGTTGTAATTGTCATCCGCTTGTCCCAACGTTGGGGTTGGTCGCGCTTAACCTAGGTCCTAGTCTTCGACCTTGCTGACAAGGGTGACCTTCCCAGAGTCATTGGATCATGCGAGCCTCTCTGCCACAAAGGGGAGACAATTAGAGGCATTCTAACTAATAGTTCCTTAAATAACTCGTCGACTTTATCTCGTATCCAAGAATTTAATTTCTACTTTTCTGGTCACCTCCTTTATGATGATGGCGCCGATGACTAAATTCGCTGTCAACTTGCAGGTCCAGGACTAGAAGCTTCCTGTCTCACCAAAACCTGCTCCCGTCATCCAATCTGGCTTAGCAAGATTTGGTTGGAGGTGAAACAAAATTAAAGTAGAAGAAGGTACCAATGGCGTGAATTTGTTTAAGATGGACGTCAACTTGCCAGGAAGCGACCCTCACACTGGATTTCATTACCTTCCTCTGTGGTACACATGGAATGAATCTTTCCTTTTGTTATATTAAAAATAAATGTTATTTTGTAATGACCAATGTATTATCCTAACTCGTCGGCTTTATCTCGTATCCAAGAATTTCATTTCTTATTTGCTGATCGCTTCCTTTATGATGACGGCGCTGATGACTAAATTCGCTGCCAACGTACAGGTTCAGGACTAGAAACTTCCACTTTCACCAAAACCTGTTCTCGTCACACATTCCCTATCGCCATTTGATGCATCCTTGTCTTACACCCCGATAGGGAATGGGTGATGCATCCTTGTCTTACACCCCGATAGGGAATGGGAGATTCATCCGTGTCTTACACCCCGATAGGGAACGGGTGTTTCATCCGTGTCTTACACCCCGATAGGGATTGGGTGATTCATCCTTGTCTTACACCCCGATATGGATTGGGTGATTCATCCTTGTCTTACACCCCGATAGGTAATGGGTGATGCATCCTTGTCTTACACCCCGATTGGGATTGGGTGATGCATCCTTGTCTTACACCCCTTTCTTTTTTGTATATTTGCTGAAATCATTTTCTATCTGTCTGCCAGCAGTTTACTGCCAGTATAGATTCTTGATTATTCTAATATCCTTAAATATATCTGTTAAGGGGTCCACCCCTTTTGATACATGTGAACTCACCCAGTGTGTACTTGTACTGCTGACGGTGAATACCCGGGAGTGACAGTCGTACAGTGAGAGAGTGAGAGAGTGAGGTAACCGCTTTGTAAGAGTCACAGTTGCGAGCACGTAGACTCAGAAGGAAGTCATACTTCGATACTGAATTTCCCAGACTGTATATATATTATTATTTCTACTAACTGTAGCAATTTTATTATTATTGCTACTAACCGTATTACCAATTGTATTATTAAGTCAATACATTTATTTGCTATATTTCATTCCTGCGTTTGTCATTCATTTTGACACCGGATTTCATCCCGGAATCCACAACAATATCAATGTTGCTGAGCAGTTCTAATAGATTTTTGTGTACTTTATCAAATGCCTTTGCACAATCTATAAAACTCATGTGCATGTCCTTCATTTGTATTGCTTTTGCCGATAACATTCTGAGGAAAAATATCGTGTTCCTTGTTCCAGTGTCTTTGACAAACCAGCACTATCCCTGCCCTATTTACAGTCTGATTCATCAAAATTCAAATGATAATTTTTGTTATACGGCTCATAAGGCTGACTACCCAATGGAGTTCACATTTATTTTCACCTAGCTTCTTAGGCAGTGCTATAAAAATAGATCTACTTAGGTCTTCTGGTGTTGAAGGTTTTGGTTGAAGCTAAAAGAAAAGCAGAGTAGAAGAATGTGCCGATGGCGTGGATGTGTTTAAAGTGAACCGCAACTGGCCAGGAAGTGACCCGCACACTTGCTTTCATGCCCTTCTTCTATGGTAGATACGGAATGAGACATGCAGAATCCAGTTATGAAACTGACTCAGTTATAATTTTGAATGGCGCCTTCTGTAGCATGTCCGTCAGGCGTAGCCCTCTTCATCAGCTTATTCAACCGTTGAGATCTGTTGGTCGTACTTAGTCTGGGTCCTCGTCTTCGACCTTGCCACTAAGGGTGGCCCTACCAGGAGTATAGAACACCCGACAGCATCGCTCTCGGAGTCATTGGACCGCACAAGCACCCCCAACACGACAATCATGCCATGCTATTATAAATATCTATTTTCAGTGTCCCCATGTTAGCATGTTCAAAGTTGCATTATGGCTCAAAAGTGTATATTTCCCAAGAGTGCAAATGATTGGTGTTGCGGCTCAGGCGTTTGAATTTCTTTTCCTATTAATTCCCCTTGTCCTTGTGCCATACCAAACTTAGCTTAGTAAATGTCAATAAATGCCCAACGCATAAATGCTTAACGCCTCATAACATTCAATTAGAAGCACAATCAGATTCTCTTAATGAGGGGTAATGACAAATTCCTTTCCTGTTGGCAGCCATGTTCCTCCCTCTCAATAGATCGGCGGATGCTCAGCAAAAAATATTGGCTATTTTTCCCGCTTAATTACCCGTCTTTTAACTTCCGGTACAACAATCCGTCACTTAGCTAGCTTTATCGGAGGAAGGCAGTCATATGATTCATAAAGCAGTTATCATGGCGTAAAGATTTCAACGAACAATTTTCTTTTCTTCTTTATTCTTATTTGGCGTCAATTCAAATTTTTCTTTTCTTTTCTTTTTTTTTTTGCCATCTTTCATTTTTCTTTTCCTTCTTGGTTTATCATTTCTTTCTTATCTTTCTATGTCTTCTTTTCTTTCTTTTTTTAAAAGATTTTTTCTTGGTTTTACCAAAACGTTCCTATCGTTCTTTTATAGCATTTATTTCTTTCTTTCTTTCTTTCTTTCTTTCTTTCATTCATTTTTTCATTCTTTCTTTCTTTCTTTCTTTCTTCATTCTTTCTTTCTTTCTTTCTTTCTTTCTTTCTTTCATTCTTTCTTTCTTTCATTCTTTCTTTCTTTCTTTCTTTCTTTCATTCTTTCTTTCTTTCTTTCATTCGTTCTTTCTTTCTTTCATTCTTTCATTCTTTCTTTCTTTCTTTCTTTCATTCTTTCTTTCTTTCATTCATTCTTTCTTTCTTTCTTTCTTTCTTTCTTTCTTTCTCTCATTCTTTTATAGCTTATCTTTCTTTCTTTTGTTCTTTCTTTCTTCTAACCTTAATCTCATTCTTTTATAGCTTTTCTTCCTTTCTTTTTTTCTTTTTACGTTTCTCTCGTTTTTTATAACTTATCTTTCTTTTGTCCTTTCTTTTGTCTTTTCTTTCTTGTAACCTCAATCTCATTCTTTCTTTCTTTTTTCCTTTCTTTCTTTCTTTTTACGTTTTTTCTCGATTTTATAACTTATCTATCTTTCTTTTGTCCTTTCTTTCCTTTGTTCTTTCTTTCTTGTAACCTCAATCTCATTCTTTCTTTCTTTCTTTCTTTTTACATTTCTTTCATTATTTTATAGATTATTTATCTTTCTCTTTTGTTCTTTTATAGCTTTTCTTTCTCTCTTTCTTTCTTTCTTTCTTTCTTTCTTTCTTTCTCTCTTTCTTTCTTTCTTTCTTTCTTTTAACGTTCCTCTTACGCTATTATTGCTGATCTTTCTTTCTATTTTCCTTTCTTTCTTATTACCTTGATCTCATTCTTTTATAGCTGAACTTTCTTTTTTTGTCTAATTCGAGAAATTTCTGTGAAAAAATACCTATATATTAAGTATAACGATAAATTTTCATGGATTTTTCTCGAGAAAAATCCTGAGATAACACAATGATTGTCTCCTTTATTGCCTGGACAGTTTCTGAATTAAAAGAATATATATCGGCCATTTTCCTCACTTAATTACACCTCATTCCACTTCCGGTACAATAATACGTCATTTTGAAATAATTTTGTGATGCATACTTCAGTCGCTTTTCGTGTGAATAAAAAAAAATAGCATCATTGATAGTTCGGGATATTTTTTTCTCTGCGGTTTTAGTAGGGGCTTTTTGGTAGAGTATCTTTTTAGGTTTATTATAGGGTCTATTTAGTTACAGGAAATGACTTTGTCTGTTATTGATCGGCAAATGTCAGGTTTTGCGGTCTGATGTACAACGGGTTGCAGAGTTTCATAAAATAATGATTGGGGACAAATGGATCAAGTCGTTTAGAGTTTTTTTCGTCTTTCTTTTTCTTGCTTTTTAAAAAGCCTTTTCCTTTTAAGAATTTTATTCTTGCTTTAGATTTTTTTTCATTCTTTTTTTTTTAAATTGTTTCTTTTTTTCAGACAACTTTTTCTCAATGTTTCTTTTTACAATCTTTTTTTTTACATTGTCAAGATTTTAATTATTTTTTTGCAATATCCATTCTTTTTTCAGTCATTTTTCAATCTTTCTTTATTTTTTGCAATCTGTCATTTTTCAGTCTTTCTTATCTTGCAATCTTTCTTTCTTTTCTCCTCTGTTCTTCCTTTCTTTCTTTCTTTCTTTTTTCTTTTTTTCATTCTTTCTTGTTTTTTATTTCTTTTTTCCGATCGTTTCTTTTCTTTCTTTCAACATTAATTTATTTGCTACATTCTCCATTTTTTTCGTTTTCATTTTTTCTTCTTTTTCTTTATTTTTTTCCTTCTCTTATAATGTCCGTTTCTTCACTTTCTTTTTCTCTTTGCTTCTTTCTTTCTTTATTTCTTTCTTTCTTTCTTTTTTCTCCTCTGTTCTTTCTTTCTTTCTTCTCTGTTCTTTCTTTCTTTCTTTCTTTCTTTCTTTCTTTCTCCTTTCTTTCTTTCTTTCTTTCTTTCTTTCTTTCTTTTTTCTGTTCGTTTCTTTTCTTTCTTTCAACATTAATTTATTTGTTTCATTCTCCATTTTTTTCGTTTTTATTTTTTTCTTCTTTTTCTCTGTTTTTTTTTCTCTTATAATGTCCTTTTCTTCACTTTCTTTTTCTCTTAGCTTCTTTCTTTCTTTCTTTTTTCTTTCTTTCTTTCTTTCTTTTCTCCTCTGTTCTTTCTTTCTTTCTTTCTTTCTTTCTTTCTTTCTTTGCTTCGCTGTTTTATGTTTTTATTTTTCTTCTTTCTTTCAATTTTTAAAATTTTTTTTTAACCTGTTTTTTAGATTATTCACCCTCTTTCGCCTTTTTTTACCGCCTTTGTCTATCTTTACTTATTATTATTATTATTATTTTTTTGGAAACAAATTTTTCTGATTCTTTGACATTATTCACTATTTCGTCAAACTAAAAAATTATAAAACTCGAACTGATACGTTACCAAAATTTAAACGAATAAATTTCAGTAAATATTTTCATATGTGTGAATACGTTTCTCTATATGTATATACAAGTGCGTATAAATGAATATATGTATTTGTGTGTATATGTTGCTTATATTGTGTCATCGTTTCTATGTAAGAATTTAAATGTCTATGGATGCGCGCGTATATATGAGTGTATATCTATCTATCTATCTATCTATCTATCTATCTATCTATCTATCTATCTATCTATCTATCTATCTATCACAATCCTTTTAATATCTATCTATCTATCTATCTATCTATCTATCTATCTATCTATCTATCACAGTCCTTTTCATATCTATCTATCTATCTATCTATCTATCTATCTATCTATCTATCTATCTATCTCAGTCTGTTCATATCTATCTCAGTCTGCTCATATTTGTTTCCAATTTGAAAATTTGAAAGGACGCCAAGGTGAATGAAGTCGAGATGCCTGGTATCTATCTATCTATCTATCTATCTATCTATCTATCTATCTATCTATCTATCTATCTATCACAGTCCTTTTCATATCTATCTATCTATCTATCTATCTATCTATCTATGGGTAAAAGAATCTGTGGGTAAGTTATCCAAGTAGATCCTATCAATATAAAATATTAAATATCGATCTACAAAAGAACGTTCAATATAATTTTTATTATAGAACATATAAGTCAATCAATTTGTTTGGGTTTCATACTTTACACACACACACACACACACACACACACACACACACACACACACACACATATATATATATATATATATATATATATATATATATATATATATAAGAGGATGAAACACTAATATTTCATGGTTATAATTTATTATATTGAAATCATAATCACGATCAATTCATCAGACCTACAACTTCAAAAAGCTTGTAGGTCTGATGAATTGAATCGTGATTACGATTCAATATAATAATTTATAACCATGGATCATATTTGAGCCTTTATATTATATTCTTGCTTTGTCCTGGACATTGAGTTCTACCTGGATTCTAACCCCTTCGATATATATATATATATATATATATATATATATATATATATATATATATAGAGAGAGAGAGAGAGAGAGAGAGAGAGAGAGACCAAATATAATCAAACACAAACAAGCATAAAAACACACAACTAAACAGTAAAAAGATCAACTTAAAAAATCTATATATTCGGAGAAAGTGCTCAATATCAGAGATAGAGCGTATGTAAATGGCCCGTACAGTGGGGACAGTTCTTTTCTTAGAGACGACATGAAAGGTGGAAGTGTTTACTTTATTTCTAAGATAACTTGATTAAAATTGCTTAGAACCATGTGGTCGACGTACCAAGGAGGAGAGATCATTAGAATAATTACTACGAAAATATTTATCGCAAAGAGAAAGAGAAGACACGTTACGGCGTTGGGGAAGTTGATGGAAGTCGAGATGCCAGGTCAAGACCGATAATATTACCGACCCTTCTTTGAATTTTGCCGAGAATCTCTATATACAGAGGCAAAAGTCACGCAGCATAGAGATTAATTTATTAAAAGTATCATTACACCTGAACATTTTATTTATTAGTTATTTAATTGTTATATGTGTTCTTGAAAAAGTCCCCCTCTTTTTTTTCAAAACATATTTCACTTCTGTGTCTGCCTGATTCGTTAATACGTCGGAGAGTTTCCTCAGTCATTTTACTGCGTTCGTCTTTAATTCTTTCTTTATGTTACTCAACATTTCTTGGGTGTCTTTGATTGCAAATAGACCTACAGAATAAATCCAAGGCTGTGAAGTTTCATGATATCGATTTAATGCATCTCTTCGACGAGATCGATTAAATCAGACGCTTCGCGACTTTTAACTCACTCTGTATATACAAGGTGCGACTTGTTAATTATTGACATTTTATATTTTTAATTTCGCACAATTGTTTGTTTTTGATTTTGTCGACTGCACAGCATAGTAGGGTCAGTTGGGCACCGTCTGTGAGAAAAAAAAACAAAAAAAAACAACAAAACACCAGGACGCAATTCTTTCCGCCAGAAATTTGGAAACGGCATGCTGTACTGCTTGGCATTCGCACCGGAATATCCAGTACAAACATGTTTGCGTGTCAATCTGAAGATAGTGCAGAGGATTCAGAAAGAGTTGGATGAGTCTAATGGTGATTACGAATCTGTTTTGAGTGATTACTAGCGATGGAAACGTTATGCCTCCATTCACCTTCTCACAGGCATCAGACTCAACACGGAGGCTCACATCAATAGTGCTGTTCCTGGTCAAGAGGGTGGCTGCTGGAAGACTCTATTTCGCAAAAGGACACTGCACCATGCCACACAAGGAGCAGAACCCAGTCATGGCTGTCAAATAATTTCTGCAACCACATCACCTCTTACATCTGGCCACCTAACACCCCAGACTGCACCCCCTTGATGTGCGGGGCTCAGTTAAGCGAGAGACCAACAAAACTCCTCAAAGATGAACTGAAGACAAGGATTATGCCAGCATTCACCCACTTGAAAAATGTAGACCGTTCAGAAGAGTTGCAGGAGATTTCGAAGTCGTCTGGAGGCAGTGGTTGAAGCCAGTGGTGATTTTATTGAATAAATTTACTCTTTAGTATTTCAAGATATTTTTGTGTAATTTTAGTAAATATATCTGTTAAATTGAAATGTTAGTGTTATTTTCATTTTTACGTATTTTGGACAATTTATCAATCGCTCCCGGAATATAGTAACAGAAGAAACTCGTATATTTATGTTCATATAAGCAAATAAAATTCACTCTCTTCGAAATCCGATAATGACCTTATTATTTAATTTACATCACGTCTAATCTATTTTTCTCTAATTTTCCACTTTTTGTTACAAAGTTTGTTTTTATTTTTGAGGTTGGTTTTGTTCTTTTTCTGTTCCTTTTTTTTTTTTTTTAAATTTCTTTTCGACGTAAACATATATTTCATCCTCAATGTCATCTGGTCTTTGTTTTATTTACCTTGTGACATTTTCACTTGTTTCCTCTCAATGCATCAAGTCGCCATTTTGACAAAATGGCTTACAAACGAATGTTTTACAAGCGGTTCATGCCGGACATTAAGTCCACATTGCTCTGACATGTATAAGTCCTAAGTGGCTCTTTGTTTTAAATCACGATTATTCGCTCCACCATCACGATGTATTTGTCCGCACACATGCTCGCATTAATACAAACATTTTGTGCCCGACCTCTGACCATTTGACGTCCTGTCATAGCGGCTGTGTTTCCCATTTTAGAGTGTACATACTTGACGTTTTGTTATTCATAAAACCGCAATTCTTTCATTGATAGCGCCATTAGTCCAAGCATAACAGCCAATACTTAATTTGTCTTTTTTAAAATATCATCTTACAAAAAAAATCACATTTGAAGGATATTTTTTATCTTGGAATCTGGAAAAAGTGACACTAATGTCTCCAGTTTTGTTTTGACAAAATGTTTTATTCCTAGAAAATAAAAAAAAATTATAACCTCCGTATTCAGTCATAATGATCGCATTTCAGCTCATTTGAGCCTTCATCATATTTTGGTCATGCGAAAGTTTCCAGCACATTTTAATCAACACCTTTTATTTATATACTTTTTGCTCATATATAAGGCCCAAGAGACACTCAAGGTAAAGGGTTATTAAATAAGGTTGTTGTAAGGGCGTACAGGAAGCGAGGTGCGTATTATGAGGATATGTCGAATAAATAAGCGTTAATCCTCGACTTGAAGGGATCAAGTTTATAGTGATCCAAGAAACATCCTCTCGGAAGTCTGTTCCACAATGATTCAGTTTTGGGGAAGAAGCTATCTGAGCGGAAGTTCCTCTTCACATGGAAGATGAAGGGAATGAGGAAAGGTTGACTCAGTGTACGTGGCATGGCCTGTAGAACCAAAGAATAATGTCCGGAAGAACTACATTCCTTGGGTCTTTGTTATTTCCTTCATATAAATTAATGACATCGTTATTCAGTCATCAAAATATCTTCCCTGGATTTCTATGACCTTAATCCACCTATAGATTTGACAGAACAACAATATAGGTGTTGTAGTAAACTCTCCTACAGTAGAATGAACTCTTCCTCCTCTCATAAATGCTAACTGCGAGACTTCCTAGGAAGAGTCGTTGAGCAGTCTCTGACTGTGTGCGACTTCTGTCGAACTCTCTGCTTTGGCAGAGAGGAATCCGGACGAGGCTTTGAAGAAGGACAAGGTTTCGTCCGGGGCGGGAGACAGATCCCGAACCCGCGTATACGGGTTCAAAGGGGATATTTTGGGCTGAGCCTATGGGCTCGGAGAAACCCATGGTAAACTCGGCCTTGTGCCACATACATTCCTCGTGGGGAGACTGTTCAATATATACAGTCGTTGCGCAGTCGACACGCAGTCTCTGACTGTGTGCGACTTCTGTCGAACTCTCTACTTTGGCAGAGAGGAACCCGGGCGAGACTTTGCCGAAGGGCAAAGTTTCGTCTGGGGAGGGAGACAGATCCCGAACCCGCTTATGCGGGTTGAAATCGAATATTTTTGTCCGAGCCTACGGGCTCGGAGAAACCCACGTTAAACTCGGCTTTATGCCACATACATTCCTCGTGGGGGGACTGTTAAATATACAGTCGCTGAGCAGCCGAGACACAGTATAACCTGATCATTCAGACGGACACTTCCGTCTGCTTATTACTAACACTCTTGCTTTGTATATATCTGTTATTGCAATACACTTCTTCAACCTACCTTCGTCTTCCGTGTCTTTCTTTTCTGGCCCCTAAACAGGCCACAACAATAGGCCCAGAAAATCGTACATATCTGGTGAGGACCAAAATATCGAATCATTTCAAATCTCAACAAAGGAGGAAATGAGAGACCCAAGTCTCTTCTTAGATTATGCTCTGTATATATACAAGCACAAATATGAAGAAATAGGCACTGATCACTGATCATACTTAATCTCAAATGAAGTTGCCAATAACAGACAATGGTTTTGCTTTCTTTCCTGAGGCCAGTGTATGAAAAGTGCTATGCTGGTGACATAGCTATTCATAGTTGGGATAAGAATGATCTTGAACCAAAAAATCATCATCCCCTACCTAGAATTCCAAGAAAAAGTTATACCTTTCCAAAACTGACCCCTTCGCAAACCAGTAACTCTGATCTGGAATTGAAATGAAAGCAGTGACAGCATCTAACCTGAATCCATCATAAAAATTCAGGTTGTAGAATGAGTAAATACTAAGCATGTCAAATAGCTAGGCCTATGAATCAGTTATATCAAATTTAGTATCGTAGATAAAGAAATTGAGCACAATATCGGCTGCACTAGGGGTAGTTTCGCACAACACCGCTAGATGCCCCAAAACCAAAACATTAATCTAAAATATCTAAACTGTCAGCAGTATACATCTGCTTTCTTAGATATAGGACTTGAGAAACCCCTTTTTCTGAAAAACTTTTTTAATAGAACGATTTTATAAATTTTAATCGACGGTGCCACTGGCAATGTAAACAAGATAGAAATGAGAAGCCGCGATCGATTTAATCTCTTTCGAGACTATGCTCTGTGCAAAAACAAGCACAAATATGCCACATCCCAAACGACATTACCAATATCATACAACGTTCCTGCTTTCTCTCCCGAAGCCAATGTAAGACAAATGCTATGCTGATGACATCGCAATTCATAGTTGGGATAAGAATGATGTTGAACAAATAAATCAACATTCTCTACCAAGAGTTCCAAGAAATTGAACTCAAGATAAACCTTTTCAAAACTGAAACTAGGATCTGGAATTGGAATGAAAACGGTAATGGCACCTCATCTGAATCTCTCATAAAAATTTAGCATGTGAAAACAGTAAATATTAAACCCGTCAAATACCTCAGTGTATGAATCTGTCATAACAAATTTAGAATTATAGATAAGGAAATTAAACATAGAATAGGCAGATATAGGGGTAGTTTCGCCCAACACCGCTAGATGCCTCAAAACCAAAACATTAACCTAAAATATCTAAAAATCTCAGTTGTATACAACCGCTTTCGCTGATACTGAACCATTTTTCTGAAAAACTATTTTAGTAGAACAGTTTTATAAAATTTAACCGATGATGGCACTGGCTGTTCGCTCAATGAATTAGAATGGTTTCCTTATAAGGAAAGAGTTAATATTTTCATAACAGTTCACTTTTAGCTACCGTAATGATTCATGTATAATACGCATTTCCCTGGAGTTTTAATGTCAAATGTTAGAGGTTACAAGAGAAAGAAATATTAACACTTTACTAGCTACGTGCATCGCTATATACTGGGCGATGTAACCGATAGTAAGTTATATACAATAGAATCCCTCATATCCAGAATTCCTCATATCCGGAATCTCTTATATCCGGAGTGCTTCATATCCGGAATCCCGCATATCCGGACATGATTTTGATGTGTATATTTAAACTATATGGGGATTATGTAACTGATTTGAAATTTCTGTTTTTTAGGAAATTTTCTTTGGATAATTGCTTATGCTTATTTGAACCTAATGGCTTGTATTAGTGCAAAAGACGATGGGAATAAGAGGAAAAGATGACAGCGAGACACATCTGCAACAAGATAGCGACGAGATGCATGATTGTGATGAAACCTGTCATGAAATTGAAAAAGCTATTGAAAAAGTTGTCAGTTTATGGAAAGAAAGCCAGCATTCAGCTATGACGATTGCAATAACTCATACAGAGTTAAAAAGAGTCTTTCGTTTAAAAAATGTCAAGAAGAAAAGCAAAACAAAATGCGGAAAAGGTTGAGAATGATATTAGAAGAGAAAGAAGCATCATGCAACAGCGATTAAAAAAACCCTCGTTACTTTATTTGTTTTGCATACATGGCTTATTTAATTTAATGAAATTTCATTAACATTACATAATTTATTTCTTTTTCCTTAAAATCAATTTCGTTATATTTCACTCACCATTAACTTATTTTGTTTACTATAAATGTTAAACCTGATTTCGGTTCTTTTATTTTAATCTAAATATAACCCCACATATCCGGACTTTGTAAGTAATTTTTCATACCCGGAAGACCTTCTTAGTCCGGTTGTCAGGGATACTACTGTATTATCCAAACTAGCTAATGTACAATAAAGAGTTTAAATCGTTAAGCAAGCAGCCATTTTCTTTTTAATTATTCGCGTTGATATTAACCATTTGCCTGTCCAAGGCAGTTTTGTGCATACTATCTATACATTAATTCTTGTTTTCAGAAGAGAGAGAGAAAAAAAACAAACTTCACACTAGTTACAGTTCTTATTTATAAAACTTTTATATAGCGACTCGTATAAATATAGTGCTGTTACATTCATTTTTATTAGTCTTAAAATACAAATGGGCTGATAGCGCCCAATTCAGCCATTTGACTATTCAGGGATTTTCTTGTGTAATATCCAAACGTTAATTCTTGTTTTCAGATTTATAACCATTGCAAGGCAACTCAGCTAATTTGGTAATAATTGTTCTGATGTATAGTGTTTCACATAATAAGTTATTTACACGACGCTCTGTGCATCACATGTGCTGCAAAGGTTATAATCATTTCAATAGCGTGAAAATTTCATTTGAGACCTGTTATATAGTAATAACGTGTCGTCATTGTTGTACTTGTTTTTTTTGGGTTTTTTTGTATCTCCAATTTTTAATTTGCTTGTTGGGCTCTTCCTTTGGCTAACAACCGTGTCTTTCTGTGTCTGCTCTCAATACTGTGTCCCGTCCAAGGAAAAAGAGTTAAATTAATTGAACTGAAAACTTTAAAGAAGTGGTAAAGATGGCACTAATTAAATTTACTCTAACAATCGTAAAGAATTTTGGAAGAAAATTTTTTTCATAGGCCTTCATAATTCTTTAGAATGGGTGATCACTTTGCAATCCCAGGTGTTTTAGGCTTGGATGTGCGGGTGGTGTAAATGAATAACGGCTCAGAATTGGATTGGTTGATTTTGTTTAGTGGCGTATGAACACCTCTATGGGTTGTTTAATGCCGAAACCTAAATATTTTGAGCATAAATATTTTTGCACGTCTTCAACTGCAGATAAAATGTATTTTGCCATTTTGCTTTAAAATCTATTGTTAGTAATATCAATATAAATAGATATTGTGGATAATTTCACTACAAATATGAACTTTTCGAATTTTTTCATATAAACATGTATTACTGGTGTATTTACTATAAAAATGCATTTTTTATACTTTCATAGTCTTTTGTTTTTGTTTGTCGGTTAACTATTTACCCATAGCTGGGACCCTAACAGGTGCTACCATGCCGGGTCAGAGTGGATCTGGGAACAACAGCAATTAAGAGGTGGTTCGACACTCCTGAAAACGTTCAATCTCCCTTGCTGCCGGATGTAGTTTATCGTCCTACCCCGGACTGTCGGTAGTGGAAATCGGAGAGTCGAGTTCAGTACGTTTTTTAAAATCTTAGTGTGTATTATACGCGAGAGATGCTTCCGTTTTCATAATTTTAAAACCCAGAGTGCGTATTATTCACAATTACGGTAGATTATCTCATTTACATTTTGTTTTTTATATTCGGACTAATATCCCGATCGCAACGTTTCAGCATTTCTTTCATCTTTTTAGTTTTCTTCAGGTGCATGTTGACCTAAGTAAGCTTTAAAGAATTCCGAATTCAACCCTTTCTATTCAATCTACTATAATTCTATCCTAGTGCATACCTATCTGTCTATATCTCTGAGATGAGGTATTATGATTACTTACATTATTTACATTGTTCGGACTGTTATCCTCATCTTTATTGCTATATTCACAACATTTCGGTCGTTGTACGCTCCAGCCTTTATGTCTATGTTTCTCTATATATCTGTCTATATCTCTGAGTTGAGGCATTATGTCTACTTGCATTATTTACATTATTCGGACTGTTATCCTCATCTCCATTGCCATATTCACAATGTTTCACCCGTTGTATGCTTAAGCCTTCTTCAGGTGATTTGAATTTCGAACCGAACCGTTTACTTCGTTCACCGGGGTAGATTGATCTCGTAATTTTTAAGTCTTCCTCTTCTTTAAATTCTCCCTTTCTTTCTTTCTTTCTTTCTTTCTTTCTTTCTTTCTTTCTTTCTTTCTTTACCTACGTAATTAATAACCTTTCTTTCTTTCTTTCGTTCTTAATTACCTAACTTTCTTTCTTACCCACGTAATTAGGCACGTTCTTTTCTTTCTTTCATTCCATCTTTCTTTCTTAAATTCCATCATTCATTTTCTTTTTTAAATTCATTCTTTTTCTTTATTCCTTCTTTATTTGTTTGTTTGTTTCTTTATTTTTAATTCACCATTTTCTTCGTTCTTTCTTTCTTTCTTTTTTCTTTCTTAATTACCCAACTTTCTTTAATTATCCAACTTTCTTTCTTACCTATGTAATTAATAAACTTTCTTTCTTTCTTTCTTTCTTTCTTTTCAAATGTTGTACTGAATTCGTAGATTGATTTATCGCATGTAAAATAACATCAGCTGAAACACTTCGAGTTTCTTGAGCTTTACTAAAGTCATGAACCTCACCATCCCATTTCTGTAACATATCCAGTCTTTAAACCGCTTAGGAACACCGTGTACTTTAAGCAACCTTCTAAAATCCGAAATATATATCAAATTACTCCTAAATGGTTCTTAAACCGTCAAAATTAAATCAATTCCGTAATATGCTGCCGATAATTGATAAACTAAACATTATAAACGTGAACATCGAAAACACTCTCTCGTGACACCAATCTATCAATCCTGAAATGTCCAGTTTCATACTCAATTATAATTGATAAAATGGCTACTGTAACCATTACCAATGTTGACACCCGGTTGAGACCATTGATGTGCGTCAAGTGAAAACATTGACAGATATCATAACCATCCCATCTAATGCAGTTTATCTATAAGTAAACTTATAAAATTCATGCATATATATATATATATATATATATATATATATATATATATATATATATATCGACTGTAATTTTTCATTCACGCCCTTAGCTCTTCCTAGTGCCTACAATGCACTTGTTAAAAACGAAACAAAATAATAAAAAGAAAAAAAAATGATTTATGCGCACAGATGTCAAATAGAAACTTCTTTCGATTCGAAGCGTCAACAAACATTTTCTTTTTTCTTCTATTTCTTCCTGATACTCAATTTTCCTTTCTTTTTTTCCTTTCTTTTTCCTTTTATTTTTCTCTCTCTATTTACACATTAAACGATTTCATCTTTATTGTTTGTACTTTTCCCCCGACGAACTTTTAATATCCATGACATTTTTATTTATTTATATGTCTTTACTTTTATTTTTCTTTCTTTGTTTTTTCGTCATTGAGTCATTTTCTTTCTTTCATTCTTTCTTTCTTTCTTTCTTTCTTTCTTTCTTTCTTTATTTATTTCTATCTTCTCCATTTTCTTTCCTTCTTTCTTTCTTTCTTTCTTTCTTTTACAAATGTCTTATTTTTCCCTCTTTTTATTACTTTTTAAGCATATGTATTTTTTTTGCGTCTTATTTTCTTTCTTCTGTTCTTTCATTCATATATATATATATATATATATATATATATATATATATATATATATATATATATTTTATAATTTATAATTCTGTCACTAGTCTTCTTTTCTTATTTAAGACAGGACATGATCTTTCGTTCTTTCTCAATGTCTTTTATTTTCTAAAATTGATGTTGATCTTTTCTCGTCTCTTTATTTTTAAATTCGTGTTTTCTCCTATTCTTTTTTCTTTCTCTCTTTCTTTCTTTTTTCTTTCCCAATCGTTTTTTTCCACAATTCTTTATTTGTATTGTTTTCTTTCTCTTCTCATTACTTTCTTTTCTCATTCCTTTCTTTTCATGTCTTTCTTTCTTTCTTTCTTTCTTTCTCGAGAATTTATCCTTTATTTTTGCTTGCTTTTTTTTTGTTTCTTTCTTCTTAATTCTTTGTTTCCTTTCTTCCTCAGTTGTTTTCTTAATTCTTCATTTTTAGTTTTTTTCTCCTCTTTTCTCGTTTCAATTCTTTCCTTCCTTCCTTCCTTCCTTCCTTCCGTCTTTCTTTGTTTCTAATTCCATTTTTATATTCTTAATATATTACTTTTATTCCAATTTCTTTATTTCTTTTTACTTTCTTTCTTTTTAATGTCGTTTTTATTTTCTCAATACTTTATTTTTATTTCTATTTCTTTTTTCTTTCTTTCTTTTTAATTCCGTTTTTATTTTCTCAATACTTTATTTTTATTTCTATTTCTTTTTTCTTTCTATCTTTCCTTCTTTCTTTCTTTCTTTCTTTCTTTTTCTTCTTTCTTTCGTTCTTTCTTTCTTTTTATTTCCGTTTTTATTTTCTCAATAATTTATTTTTCTTTCTTTGTTTCTTTCGTTCTTTCTTTCTTTTTAATTACGTTTTTATTTTCTCAATACTTTATTTTTATTTCTATTTCTTTTTTCTTTCTATCTTTTCTTCTTTCTTTCTTTCTTTCTTTTTTTTCTTCTTTCTTTCGTTCTTTCTTTCTTTTTATTTTCGTTTTTATTTTCTCAATAATTTATTTTTCTTTCTTTGTTTCTTTCGTTCTTTCTTTTTAATTACGTTTTTATTTTTCTCAATACTTTATTTTTATTTCTATTTCTTTTTTCTTTCTTTCTTTTTAATTCCGTTTTTATTTTCTCAATACTTTATTTTTAATTCTATTTCTTTCTTTCTTTCTTTCTTTCTTTCGTTCTTTCTTTCTTTTTAATTCCGTTTTTATTTTCTCAATACTTTATTTTTAATTCTATTTCTTTCTTTCTTTCTTTCTTTCTTTCTTTCTTTCTTTCTTTTTAATTCTGTTTTTATTTTTTTAATACTTTATTTCTATTTCTTTTTTTCTTTCTTTCTTCCTTTCTTTCTTTCTTTCTTTCTTTCTTTCTTTTTATTTCCGTTTTTATTTGCTCAATACTTTATTTTTATTCTTTCTTTTTTCTTTCTTTCTTTCTAGCTTTCTTTTGCCCTTGTTCTTTCATTCTTTCTTTCTTTCGTTCTGTCTTTCTTTCTTTCTTTCTTTTTAATTCCGTTTTTATTTTCTCAATACTTTATTTTTAATCCTTTTTCTTTCTTTCTTTCTTTCTTTCTTTCTTTCTTTCTTTCTTTTTAATTCCGTTTTTATTTTCTCAATACTTTACTTTTATTCTTTGTTTCTTTGTTTCTTTCACTCAGACTGTTCATATCTGTCTATCTAACGACCTATCTTTTTATATTTTTGCTTCCATTCTATTTTTCCACCTATTTATACATACTTTTATGCTTCGTTCGTGTCATTCGTGTTGATTTCCCTTTTGTTTTTCCCCCCTTTTTTATCCAATCATCTCAGTTGCGACCCCCACCACACGCACGCCGTCCACATTGCACCATTCTTCATAGCCGTCTGACCCACCGACCGATAATTAGCGACTATAATTCCACTCGGGCACTCCAATTGCGTCGCGAATGTCTTTTTATATGCAATCTGTTACCACACAGCAGGGTCACCAGACGCTTGTCGGGATCGACCTTTTGTTTCAGCCATTTTTCTTACTGTCAGCTTGAATAAGTAAGTCATCCGCGTCGGATCCAATTGAGCTGTATGTGTCGGGAGTGGTGGATGGAGAGCTGGGGGTAAGGCGGTGTATAAGTATTTCGGAGGTTAGGAACTGGGAAAGGACTATCAGGAAAAGAAGGCAAAGGAATGGTAGGTGAGTACGAGAAAAAAAAAAAGAGAAAAAAAAAAGAAAGAAAGAAAGAAAGAAAGAAAGAAAGAGAAAAGTAGTCATGGTAAGGAAAAGAGGAAAAAAGAGAGGAAGACAAAAAAGAGGATAACAAAAAGAGAAGAAATGAAGAATCGTAAAAAAACGAAAAAGAGGAATGCCTGAAAGAAAGAAAGAAAGAAAGAAAGAAAGAAAGAAAGAAAGAACAAGAGAAAAGATGAGAGGAAATATAAAAAGAATAGAGAACGGAGAGAGGTAGAATAAAAAAGAGAGATTAAAATGATGGGAGAAGAAAGAGTAAGAGAAAAATTTTAAAAAAAGAAGAGAACAAGAAAAGAAAGAAAAGGAAAATTAATAGTGGGAATAGCAGAGCGAAGGGAGAATAGGAAAGAGTAGGAGGCATAAAAGAAAGAAGGAAAGAAAAAGAAAAGGAAATCAAGTACAAGAAAGAAAGGAAAACAAGAAAAATCTCGCGAGAAGGAAAGACTAACGAGAGACTGATGAATAGAAGAAACGATAAGAAAAGAAAGGAAAGGACAAGAAAAGAAAGAAAGAAAGAAAGAAGAAAAGAGAGAGAGAGAGAATAATCAAATTAAAGAAAAAACAGAAGGAAAGAAAAAGAGAAAGAAAGAAGGCAGGAAGGAAAAAAGGTGTATATATCAACATTTATAATTACATACGCTCTATCCCTAACATTGAGCACTTTAACCAATAAATACAGCATACATTCAAACAGTATATATATATATATATATATATATATATATATATATATATATATATATATATATATTTAAAAGACATTTTATGTTTAACGTTGTTTTTTATAGATACAAACATAAAAATGTCT